GGCGCGGGGGGCCCGGTGGCGGGGGGCAGCAGGGGATGATGCTGCGGGGGCGGCGGCGGCGGGGGGGGCACCGCGCGGGAGCGGCACGGCGGGGGCTGCACGGCGGGACCCCGCTGCGGGGCGCGGGGCCGGGGGTCGCTCCCCGCTCCCCGCGGGACTCACCTGCGGGGCCGCCTCAGCCGCCGCCCCCGCCCCGGCCCCGCTCCCGCTCCGGCCCCGCCGCCGGGACCGCGCCGCGGCCGCCCCGGCCACGCCCCCTCCCGCCGCGCCGCGCCCCCATTGGCTGCCGCGCCCGGCAGCGGTTACAGCAGCCGGCGGCCGCCGCCTCTGATTGGCTGAGCCGCGGCCGCGCCGCGCGCGGGGAGGGGGCTCATTTGCATCTTTTAAAGCGGCCGCCGCCCCGAAAAGCGCCCGGGGAGGGGCGGGAGCGGAGCCGTGCGGGGCGGGGGGAGCGGAGCGATGCGGGGCGGGAGCGGAGCCGCCTGAACGGGAGAGCCGTCCCCGCGGCTGTCACCGTCCGTGGGGATGTCACCCCCCCTCCCCGGGCTGCCACACCCCGCGCTGGCACCCCCCCCTTCTCCCCGCGCTCAGGGTGCTGCTCGCGGTACAGCCACCGCCGCGACCCCCGCGGAGGACCCTCGCCGGCTGCCGCCGCACCCTCTGCGGTGCCGGGCTCGCCCCCCCCGCCACCTCGGTGCCACCCGGTGCCGCGCTCGCCGCTGAGCTCATGCCCCGGCTCCGGCTGACACCGGCGCAGCTGCGGGCACGGAGGCGGGTGGGGGGACCCGGGGGGGGCCCCACATTCCCGTCGGGAATGAACCCAACATCAACCCAACCAGCCCGCGGTGCCACCGGAGCCGGGGCAGCGGGGACGTCACGCGGCGGCTCCGGTTACGGTCCCTTTTGTCCCGTCCACACCTGGCAGGTGTCCCCGCGGTGAGGTGGCACTGCCAGGACGAGCCGGTGCCACCGCGGCGGCCCGGTGGGGTCTGGAGGCTGGAGATGGAGGGGGTGGTGGGTTGGGGACCCCTCCCCACCCCGCGCACGGCTCAGCCAGGATCGGGCCTCTGCCGGCGCTGCCACCGCGGTCGCTGTCGCCTCGGTGCCCCCGCGGTGTCCCCCGCGGCGTTGGCAGCTGCCAACGGGGTGGCGATGCTGGAGAAGCCCCTCCGGTGCCGCCGGAAAGGGGCTGGGACCCCCCCCTCCCCACGGCCACCCTGGACTCAGCACCGGGAGCCACCAGGATCGGTCACAGCACTGGGAAGCACTGGAGGGGGGGTTCGGAGGGGCCTGGGGGGACAGCGACATCGCTGGGGACACCCCCGGCTTTAGGGGGCACAATGGGGGGCCAGGGGAGTGAACCCCCCCAGCAGAGCCCCCTCCCTGAAACACCCCCTGGCCCCACTGCCGGCGCACCGGGCCTGGGAACGGAGAGATTTTGGGGAAGGGGGGGGTTGGAAGAGGAATTTGGGGGTGGGAAGGGGAGGTCTGGGGTGGGTACGGGGGATCTGGGGGGGCGTGGAGGGTTCGAGGGGGGCTTTGTTCCCCGGTCCTGCCAGGCTCGTGCTGCCCGCGCAGGGCGGGGGCTCAGCACAGGGACGTGGGACCCCCCCAGCACCGAGGAGGCTCCAACGCCCCCCCGAACCCCCCCACGCTGCGGGGGCCGAGCGCAGCGGCTGCAGCCCCCTCCTCGGCGGGCCGGGGGCGGCGGGGCTGGGGATGGCGGGGATGGGGACGGGGATGCAGTTGTCATGGCAACCCCGCATCCAGCCTCAGCCTCGGCTCTGCCGCACCAGCCCCGCAGAGCAGCCACCCCCCCCGGCCCCTCTCCAACCCCCCCGGGGCGATCCCTGGATCCCCCCCAAGCCCCCCAACC